ATTGTATCTCACCACCAGGGGTCAGCCCAGTGTCATGTTGGCACAACCAGAGAAAGCATTTTGTGTGTTGCAGTTTGCAAACTGTTAACCTTGAGTGTAAAAATTTGTGTACAATAAAGTAAATCTGCATCAAGAAAACATTTACTACTGGTGAATAGTTGAAGCAAAAAGGGTGATGCCAACATTTATCACCCCTTCAATTAATTCTATTTATAACATATATTCCCTGTTATCAAGGATGTCTTATTTGTAGTACACGCTTCTTCATATTTGTTGTTGTTGTTGTTAAGTGCCGTCGAGTCGGTTCCGACCCATAGCGACCCTGTACAGGGTTTCCGAGGGTGTAAATCCTTACGGGAGTAGAAAGCCTCATCTTTCTCCCGCGGAGCAGCTGGTAGTTTCGAACCGCTGACCTTAAGGTTCGCAGCCCGATTCGTAACCACTACGCTACCAGAGCTCCTATTTAGACCTTATTAAATAGGTAAACTTTTGTTTTCTTATTTTTGCTAAGAATCTGAAGTGGACAGCAATCTGGTTACTACTAAGTCACACAGATCACATACTTCTGTTTCTGGTTTTCAAAGTTTCAGTCTGGTTTCAAGTCAGCTCACCTTTAAAAGTCTAGACTGCTTAGATTTACAGTTCTCTTATTTTCTTTCCACAGAAATACCTTCATAACAATGCCCTGACTTTATAATGATTCATAGCCACAATTGCCAACTAAAAGTGCCTTAATTCCATATACATCATAATTGGAAGCATATGATGTTTTTAATATCCCTTTTTATTAAGACTCTTTGGGGAAAAAAATCTAGGTGAGAATAAAATTTTAGGGGAAAGTTCTCCCCATCGTGTCCATTTGTTCTTGGTTCTTGATCAGTTCTAAAGGGATTATTTTAATGTGTTTTCTCTTAAACATGCCCATTGAAATCTACAATAGTTTGTAAGTCTATAGAACTTTGGTAACTCTTAAATTAGGGCCTTTGATACAGTCTTCATTTCATAGCATATTAATAGTGTTTTATTAGCACTTTTATACAAGGTACTGATAATATGGCTAAGGAGCTCTGGTAGCGTAGTGGTTATGAATCAGGCTGCTCGCCGCAAGGTCAGCAGTTCAAAACTACCAGCGGTTCCACGGGAGAAAGATGAGGCGGTCTGCTCCAGTAAAGATTTACAGCCTCAGAAACCCTGTGTAGGGTCGCTATGAGTTGGAACCGACTCCACGGCACATAACAACAACTGATAATATATTTTAAAAACTTATTTTAGAAGAGGTATCCTACATCGTCTAAATAGTCATTATAGCTCAAGGATAAATTTTAATAGATCTTAAAGATATACTCAATATTTAAGAACTACATGTCTAAAAATATTAAGACTAGTTTATTTGTATAATAGCTTTACGGAGCTGTAACATACATACAGTATAATTCATCTATCTAAAGTGTACAGTTCAGCAGTTCAGAGGCTTTTAATATATTCAAAGAACTATACAGTTATCACCAAAGTCAAGTTTAGAATATTTTGGTGAATATTGTTTGTCACTCCCTCCCAATGTCCTTCACCTTCAGCCCTAAGCAATTGCTAATTATTTTTGTGCCTGTATAATTTGTTTATTCTGAGTATTTCATATATAGTGTGGTCTGTGTGTGGTTTTTGTTAACTGTTTATGTCTTCAAGGTTCACCTATATTGTAGCTTGTATCAGAAATGTATTCCTTTTTATGGGCAAATAATATTGCATTGTATGGTTATAATTTATTTGCCTTACATTGATAGGCATTTGGGGTATTTCTACTTTTAAAGTATTATATAATCAGCTGTGTTTTTGTGTGGACATAATAATTTCTTTTGAATATATTCCCCCAAACAGGAAATTCTAGGAGTAGAATTGCTGGATCATATTATAGTAACTTAATGTTTAAGCTTATTACTAAAATCTTTACAGACTTTATTTTAAACTGAGATAGATTTCTAATAACTGAATAAACCAAAGTAAAAATTTTCTCTGGTCAATTATTTTTTTTTACCCCAAAATGCGAAAATTGTTTTTGTGTTTTATTAAAAGTGATATCTTGGGGAAAAAAAAAAAAGAAAGTGTGATATCTTGGTGGTGGTGGTTGTTAAGTGCTGTCAAGTCAGTTCCTACTCATAGTAACCCTGTGTAGTGTTTCCAAGGAGCAGCTGATGAACTTGAACCACCAACCTTGTGGTTCAAACTAACCTTGCAGTTCAGCCAATTAACCCGTAGTGCCACATCAGTACTTTATTTTATTTATCATAACAATTATATACCTATAAAAATATTTTTATTAAAATCCAAAATTATAGGTGGAAACGATCTTTTATTACATGAACACTGTGAAGAGATGTTTTAAAACCAAGGACTTTAATCCTTGTGGTTTTTCTACCAAAATGCGGGAATAGAGCATTCCAAGATCTTGATTCCCAAATCAATTATTGTCTGTTGATTCTGACTTACAATGACCCTGTAAGACAGAATAAAACTGCCTAGTAGAGTTCCAAGACTGTAATCTTTACAGGAACTAACTTCTGTGAAGCCGATGGTGGGTTTGAGCTGCTAACTTTTCAGATACCAACCGAGTGCTTAACCACCGCACCACCAGTTACCCCTTAGGATTCTGATTAATTGCATAATTTCCAATTTATGCTTAGTAACTGTACTGTGGGTTTATCAGCCATTTAGAAATTATTAATTTAAAAATATTTAAATATCCAATGTGAATTTACCTTCAAATATTCTTATTCTCCATTGAAGTCTTTTAATCAGATAGTTATGTTTTTATTTTTAATACTAACCTGAGAACAGCCACTTGTGAAAAATGCATATTTGGACTGGGTAAATGGAAATTGAGGAAAGGAAGAAGTAATCCAGATAGTGGGGCTTTTGATGGACTTGGTGGGACTGAAAAGAGCGAACGACCTGGGTGGATTGGCACAGTGGCAGGTATGAGTAGCTCGCTGGGATAGCAGTAGTGTCTGGAGCTAAGAGGAAAATGTCAAATCCTATTGCCTCAATAAAGTATTCTCTTCATTTAAAAATTAAGTTGTACATTCTCCTACATATTATTTATAATCTATAATGGAAAGAAAACACTTTTATTTTACTCTCTTTTAGTGAAAGCTATTATATGGCACCTTGGCATTTGCCCATATCAAATATTAACAGATGTGTTACTAATTGTTATAGATTTATCAAGTATCATTTTAAACAAATTCATCTTTATGCCATATTGTAGGTATAAACCTCAACAGTGAAAGAAACTAAACTGGATTTTCTTAAGGTTTTTATACACAGGTTCTATATATGTATAGATCTGTAAGACTGAATACACAAGTTCTATGTATGTATAGATATGTACAACAGACTAGGCAAATTTTTATGTTACTATTACTATGTTTGTAGATTGGTTTTTCAAAAGCTCAACCATTCTCTTTATTTTTCATTGCAAAGTAAGAAATGCAAAGGTTATCCCATGGACTGCTAGTGAAATAATCTGTTGTTGTTTATAGTATATTATAAACACATAGTTAGCTTAAAGATAAAAAATAATTGTAGATTGTACTGGCAGTAGATCTGGAAAGTGGATTTGGTTTGTGGACCAAAATACGGACTATAGACAATAGTGACATTCCTTTTTAATTGACATGATGCTGGGTAACCAGTTACGCACATTTTTCACAGGCTAATGGAGTCCTGGTGTGGTGCTTCGGCTTAACTCACTGGACTGCAGTGTCGGTTTGAACCTCAAGGTCACCAGTTGTTGTTGTTGTTGTTGTTAAGTGCCGTCGAGTCGGTTCCGACCCATAGCGACCCTGTACAGGGTTTCCGAGGGTGTAAATCCTTACGGGAGTAGAAAGCCTCATCTTTCTCCCGCGGAGCGGCTGGTAGTTTCGAACCGCTGACCTTAAGGTTCGCAGCCCGATTCGTAACCACTACGCTACCAGACACTCTGTGAAAACTCTATACAGGGTAGCTATGAGTTGGAACTGATTCGAAGGCATTTAACAACAACAGCAATAGGAATACCATTTTAGTTTCTTTTAGGATTATATTAGTTTGCCAGAATTCCTGAGAAAAAGGACCTTACTTTTCTGTAGCTTTAAACAGTTAATGCCCTGGACTGCAAATTCAGTTTGAATCACAAAGTCAGTGGTTCAAGCTCAGCAGCCGCTTCTTGGAAACCCTGTACAGGGTCGCCGTGGATTGGAAGCGACTTGACGGCACATTACAACAAAAACAAAGCAGTTAAAAGGCAGCTCTCTGGCAGAGGAAATGTGTGATGGCAGTGTGACTTTAATAGTGCTGAGTTTGGTTGTGAACTTTGTTTGGTGTGATATATGTGCCATCATATGTACTAATTTACAATGCAATTTCTAAGTTATTTTCCCCATAAAGATATACTCTCCACACACATATAAAATTCTTTTGCCAACTGGAATATATGAAGGAGCTTCAGAATGTGGAAAAACCCTTACTATCTTTTCATTGCATTTTTCCATGAATTTTTTTGACACTTCCACATATAAGCTTCTAGAGATGTACTTGACATGAAAACTATTACATTAAACATAGAATTAAGACATGAAGTTATACATATGCTTTACTTTCTCATACACTGAAACAATTTTGGTAAAATTCACGTTAAGTAATTGGGATCCCATAGGGATAATGTGTCCCCAAACAGTTGTTCAGGTGACATCTATTAGACAACTTTTTTTTTCTTTTTCTCCTGAAAGTTAATTTTGGGAGTTTTGCCTGATACCCGAACATATATGACCATTTCTTTTACTTCTTATTTTGTATTGATATTTCTAAGTGTTTCACAAGTGTACATGGCTAGAGCCGTGAGAGAGCTTGTTCTTACTGAGTACCTAAGTTTTTAGTTGTTAATGTGGATTGTCTTTTTTTTTTTTCTTTTTCTTTTTTCCCTTTTCCTTTGAGGGGTTGGACATAATTGCCTTATTTCATTTCAGGGATCCTTCTAAAGTAAATGTTCTGGTACCTGGTGCTGGACTAGGAAGACTGGCCTGGGAAATAGCTATGCTAGGTTATGCTTGTCAAGGAAATGAATGGAGTTTTTTTATGCTCTTTTCTTCCAACTTTGTACTCAACAGGTATTTAATTTACTTTTTGCTGGAAATAGTAATTTCTCAGAATCAGATTGACTTACCTATTTTTTTGAGCAATTCTGAATTTGAAGATGTGAACACAGTACTTGATTATGATGTCTACAAATGACCACTTTAAACCAATTCCTTAGTTAGCAGTTGTGAAACAGGATGGGTAAGTGACTTATTAGAAAGTAATTGGGCATTTTGTGGAACTGAACTAATTCTGTATAGAATTATCACAACTAATTGTGATCCAAGTAGGAGCACTTTCTCATTATTCCTTAAACGTCTTCACCCCTTTGTTTCTTCAGTGGAAGAAGAGTTCAGTGTAGCAGTCATACCTGCTTTTCCTTAACCACAGTCTTAGAAATGGCCACGTTTGCTCACATGACTGAGGTGGGAAGATCTCTTAAGATTTTCTATGGCCTTTTTTGGAAAGTAGCAGGAAAAGTGTCATTTTAAAAGTCAGAAGAGGTATGTTAGAGGGGGGGAAAATGACTGGTTTTTAAAAAGTTAAATAATTGTTACATCTACAGCTGATTTATTTTTATTTTCTCTTTATATTTTAATCCATGAGTGGTTGCTAATCTATTTGTATATATACATTTTCAAATAGTTGTGTCGGGGAAGTGGCAATACTTTAAAAAGTAATGAATTATATAAAGTGCACCTTTAGTCAAAGAGATAATTTTAGTGTTCAGAGTAGTTTTTCTTGGTAAAATGTTTAGTTAACGCTGAATTTTATGTTCATATTTTACAGATGTTCTGAAATTAATAAATATCAGCTTTATCCCTGGATCCATCAGTTTAGCAATAACCGGAGATCAGCTGATCAGATTCGACCAATATTTTTTCCTGATGTTGACCCCCACAGTCTTCCTCCTGGTTCTAACTTTTCTATGACAGCAGGAGATTTCCAGGAGATATACTCAGAATGCAGTAAGTCCAAAACAAGTGTTTTAAAGGTCTTTTCTTTTTTCTAAATGTATTGAGCTAATTTTTAGTTAATTTAACATGTTGGTCATGCATTTTGATATCAGAATGTAAGGTGTATTTCACTGATACTGTAGAATAGCTTAAAGTCTCTCTACAAGGCAATGTTCCAAAATATTGGACAACTTGTTCCAAACTAAGATTAAGAAATTTAGAATTGTTGCATCTATTAATATAAGTCAGCATTTTTAAAAAGTTCAAATGAGTAAAGAATGTTATGAAGTTAAAAGTAGATTAGTGTATGAAGGCAGTTCTTTGTAGCCAGACCATGACTTGAAGTATAGGGAGGAATGGCATTTCAGTTAAAGATAAGGTAACTAGGGAAGCAGAATGGTCTGATTGGAAGGGAAAGATAGCTTTGTTTGGGGATTTAATGAGAGGGATGGTTGGAAAAGGTGGCCCTGGGCGCTACTAATTGAAAGGTTGGTGGTTTCACCCAGCGGCACAGTGGAAGAAGGGCCTGGTGTTCTACTTCTGTATGATAAAACCATTAAAAACCCTATAGAGTGTAGTTTCACTCTGACCCACATGCAGTCATGATGGGTTGGTATCTACTGGACAGCAACAGCTATAACCAGAAAAGTAAGTTGGTTCCAGATTGTGGAGGACTTTTACAGTCAGGATATAAAGATTGGATTGCAAACTGGTGAAGAAATTTGAGCTAGGCCTTAAGGAAAGACAGATGGTAATGCAGAAAGGGAAGAGAGCAATTGACAGCAAAAAAACAAGTGACATGCTGAAAAGTTGACAAGATCATGCCGCAAATAACTGCCGAGGACCTGGCAAGAGAGTAGTAAGCAAAACAGTCTGTCTACAGGAAACTTACATTCTAGTAGGAAAGCAGCAGTAACAAACAGTATTGTGAAAAAGAAAAATAAAGCAAGGTAAAGAAGATACAGAGTGATTAGGGAAGAACTGTTGTCATAGAGTGGTCAGGGAAGACCTTTCTAAGAGCAGAAACTTAAGAAAAAGTCAGTCAGAGAATGTCAAAGCAATGAAGAAGCAGACCATTACATTTTGGAAACTTATTCCAAACTAAGAAATAGCAATGGTAGAGGCTTTATTGTGAGGGTACTCGATCTGCTCAAAGAAAAGCAAGAGGGTCAGCTTGGCTGTGGTGTGGTAAGCAATGGGCACAGTGGTGGATCAGGTCTGGTAGGCTATAGCGATGATTTTGAATTTTTTTCTGAGAAAAATGGAAGCCATTGGAAGAAATGGAGCAGGGAAGTTAGGAAACAAAGCCTCAAAATAGAAGTAGTGGAAAATATTTAAGCAACAATAAATGACTTTCTTCTGTTGCATGGTTTGTAGGGGCCTTGCTATTTCTAGGCATTGAAGGTGATTCTCAGATTAAGTGCACCAGCTTGTACAGACACCATACTTTATCTTTAGTGCCAGAATGTGACATAGAGACAGTACCTATATCTGCTAGACCACAGCCTCCTAGAGGTGACTGCAATGTGTTCTCTGGGATACTTGCATAATATTTCCAACTGCCCTGTCCTCCTTTTCTCTTGTGATTATGCGAAATACTGTGTTCATTTCTCAGTGAGCAACTGGTGTGTGCTTTCTTTCTGAAACCTGCCAGAATTGGTGGTTGCGTTTTAAATTATGATTTGAAATTCATCTTAACTGATTTTAAATGAAGACAAAAGTTGACTAGGATAGAAATAAAATTCGTACATATATCACTTGGTAAAAAACATCTAGAAATAAGAGATTACCATAATGAATTTAAATTGATTATTAGGTGTTTATTAAAATCCTTTTGAATTGCAAAGCCTCTTCCATATGTGATTGTTTTTTTAGTTTGATTATAGCATTCATAGGAAGCTTTTGCTTTCTCTACCCCTGTAGTTGAATGAACTGTTAATACTCTGTAGGAGGTAATGGTAAAATTGTAGAATTAATTAAAAGGAAAGCAAAATCATACGTATTTAATTTTTCTTAACTAGATACCTGGGACTGTATTGCTACCTGTTTCTTCATAGATACAGCTCACAATGTGATTGATTATATTGATACAATATGGAAAATACTCAAGCCAGGTGGAATTTGGATAAATCTTGGTAAGTTCTTAATAGATTTTTTTAAAAGAATATTACACATTAATGAGTACTTAAAGTTGTACCACATTTGATAACTTCACAGTACCAAATGTTCATGAAAGTTAGCATTATACTATGCATCTTTTATACACTATGCATTTCAATGTTGATGCATCCAAAATAATTGGAAACCCAAAAAGTTGCTTTGAGGTGATTCTGACTCATGACAACTTCATGTTTTTCCTAGTAGGACTTTTCTCCATATGGTTTCATTGTTGTGACTTTTTGGAAGCAGATGGCTAGACCTTTCTTCCAAGCACCTCTGGCTTGGTGTCACTCAGGAATTCCTTGTGTTAGACTCATAGTAGTAGTAGATTGGAGTCCTGGTGTGGTGCTGTGGGTTAATGCACTGGACTGCAAGTCAGTGATGCAAGCTCACCAGCCGCTCCTTAGAAACCCTATACAGGGTTGCTATGGGTTGGACCTGACTTGATGGCACTCAACAACAACAGTAGATTTGTCTCTTAGTAGTCATAATTTCAAAGTATACTAATTATTTATTAATCTGTAGATAATCATTCTCAAATCTCCACCCATTATACACCCATTTTAGTAACCACTGTTGTGTAAGAAGAGGTGTTCTTTTCCTCTCTCCATAATGAAACACTGAGGGGAAAGATCTCACCTGTCCCTTAGGTCCCTCCTCCCACCCACATACTGGACAAAAATGAGTAGTTGCTATAATTTCTGTGGTTATGTTGAGTTTACAAAAGAATACAAATATAATTTATTTATGTAAAAATCTGCTTTACTGTGGCCTACTGCTAAGTGGTCACTGAGAGTCAGAACCACTCAACGGTACCTGATAACAACAACAGCTGCTAAGTGCTATGTGAATATGACATGATCCGTCATAGAGGCTAAGGGAAATTGCCAATTTCTCCTTCTTTAAAATAAGTGGGAAATAATAATAATATCATCAGTATACCTTTGGCTTTTTAAGTGAGATACACAATCCATGTTATAAAAGATAGCAAAGCTGGAATGTAAAGCTTTACCAAGTAAGAGGTTTTTGTGTTATAGTATATAAAGGGACATAGACATTGTTTTGAGTCCATGCCTTCAGGAATGGTCTGGTTTTGTTGTGAGAACTGTCACTTGCTTTGTAATGATTTGATTTAAAAGTCTCTTGGGAAACGCTTCTCAAGTAATGACTGAAAAATTTTAGCTACCAGGTATTTGGGGAGCATGATGACTCCATAAGATAAGCACTAGACTGTGAACCACAGGGTTGGCAGTTTGAGGCCACCAGCTGCTCCATGGGAGAAAGATGAGGCTTTCTGTTCCAGCAGAGATTTATAACCTTGGAAACCCTATGAGGGTGTCTGGCTATTCGTCAGAACCAACTCGAAGGCATATCACCACCACCATGCATTTGCTCACTGTAGATTGGTTTGGCACCATATTTCTTGTTATTAAGTGCTGTCGAGTTTGTTTTCAACTCATAGTGATCCAATATAGGATGTCCAAGGAACCGCTGCTGACTTTGTAGTTCAAACCAACCTTGCAGTCCAGTGCTTATCCTACAGTGCCAACCAGACTTCATATTAGCTGCTTATAATAGCCATTTAATCTCCAAACAACTCTGTAATTGAAATGGTATCATTGCTTCTTTATAGTTGAAGAAGCTGAGGCGTAGGGTTTAAGTAGTTTGCAGAAAGTTTCTCTAGCTTGTATGTGGTAGAGATAGGCTTCTAAACCTGATCTATTCTTTGAATGCCTAACAGCTCAACAGGCTCACCCCATGTTAATTTGTAACTGAACAGTAATGTGAACCCCATATCTATGTGATTAAAATTGTTTATCCCAGTTTTACTAAGTGATGGTAAGGTTTTTTGTGTTTTCAAAGCAGTCAACTTAACTTTGTTAGAATCAGCAATCTTTGTAATTTTTCTTTTATTATTTTACAACTGTTCTACTATGTGATGATAACTGCTGGAATAATGAAACTTGGTAAGCACACTGTTTTATTAGAGCAGATGTCCTGGAGCCTGGGCTGTGATCTGCCATGGGTGTCCCAGGTTATAGAGCACACTGCTTAACAGGAAGTCAGTTAAGAGTACTTAGATTTTTTCTTAAGAGTTTCAAAACGATTTTGAGAATGGAATAATGGAGAGACACGGCCCTTAAAGATAGTTAGTAAGAAGGTCAATTCTCCTTTGCATGTATAAGTTCAAGAACTTAAAAAATAATTATCTCACATTCAATGTTGCCTTAAATATTTGTGTGCTCCAAGTATTTGTTTATCTTTGTGTGTGTGTTTTGTTGTGTTTTTTTTTTTAATGTTTTATTGTGAATTATGTGATAGTTTACATGGGAGAACATTAATTTTACATTCATTCTATAGTATATCATTTCATTGTCATGGTTCCAATCCCCTCCATACATCATCAACCAACCAAAGGGCATACACTACAAGC